GTCCTGCATGTGGCGTGGAATCGCTCTGCGTGTCTCCTCGGTCCCCGCATTCTGGCACTGACGGGTGACAGTTAACGGGAAAGTCTCCGCTGCTTTGCTCTCCCACGGGTTGTTCACCTGAAAATGACCACAGAGCCCTCCCCATCTTCTAACGGTTTGATCAATTGCACCACAGAGCAGCTCCCTGCCGCCTCTAACCCCAGCCCTGCTGCTCCTGGGGCAAGTGCCGAAACACCTCCCAACCTCAGGCTTGGAATCTAGTCCCACGTCGTGCTGCACCCCAACAATCCATGTGGAGCTTATGCTCTAAAATCAGCATCGAAGGCGAAGACAAAGTCGGCAGTCCCCTTGAAATTGTGTCCCATTGGGAACCAGCATGGATCCCTGCGTGGCCATCCGTATGCTCGCTGCAGTTTGAGAACCACTGACACAGACTAAAGGAAGGAGCAAAAGCGAAGTCTCTCCACAGAAGACGAGGCACCCAACCATCCCCCTGTGAGACAGCGCCGTCCCTGGGGATGAGCGGGAGACCAGTGGGCATTCAGACGTGTTCTTGTTTTGCCAGGAGCAGTCACTCCATTCATCCTTTTCTCATGCGGAGCTTCTCACCCTGACGTGTTAGGTTTGGTCACACTGCGAGATCTCAGCCAGCTCATCGTGCTGCACGCACTTCTGTGAATTCCAGGGTGCCCTGGGGTTGTCTTTTCCTGGTCAGTCCCATGATTGACTCATACCCAAACACACTTCCCAAAGATCTTCTGTTTGCACAATGTTAATTCTGTTCAATGTGTGACGCTATATGTATTTACTGAAAAACCAAATGAGTCTTCTTAAAGATTGCTATTGTGCCCAAAGAGTCAGACTCACCAGGCAGAGAAGAACCAGGAGATGAGTGTAACGCACATACAGGCGCCGTGTACAAAGGGGGAAAGAATGTCTGGTGGTCAAGATGGACAGGCTGAAATATAGCGAATCTGCTGCCCTTAATCAAACTGAACCAACCATCAGAATGTTCGGTCGGCATAGTTTTCCAGAAGACGTCCAGCCTCATGCACGTGGGCCCTCTTAGAGCTACGTGGGCTTTATAAACATTCAATCAGAAGAGCCCAAATGAGTGACTCTGTCTACTGTTGTCGTGGTTCTGCCCACGCAGCCCTGGCCTCTGGTCCCTAAGAGGACTTTCTTCTTCTGTTCATGTTATTTGCTCCTCCTGCAGCCCCACTGGTTCTGATCATGGCCCTGACCAAGCCTGGTCTTCCTGCAGCTGCCATCACGTCAGCATGAAGGCCCCGCCCAGTTGTCCCACCTAGAAACCTGGAAGTCTGTCCCTCGCCTCCACTTCCACGCAGGCGCCCAGACCGGCCTCCCTCGGCCTGCAGTAGCACCTGCCTGGCCCAGGCCACCGGCGTCCGCGACCTGAACTGTCAGGTACCCTCCTCAGTGCTTCCACTCTTGCTCCTCACAAACCCGGGATCTGGAAATCAAATCAATCGTGTCTGCTACCTGACCCTTTCACCTACTGCCCGTTCCTCCCCCGATCATGCCAGAGTCCATCTTGCCTGCCAGGCAGGTTCCTCAGGACCTGGTCCCTGCCTCCCTCTCCAGCTGCAGCGCGGGCCACTGTCCCCCCTCAGGCCTCTCCTCGGACCTGCTAAGGCCCCAGCTCGGTGCCTCTGCAGGGGCTCCACACCTCCTCAGCCCTCAGTTTCGGGTGCCTGACCCTCCCAGGCAGCCTGAGCAAGCCCTCCACCTCCAGTTTGCTCCCTTGTTACACCTCCTACAGCTGGTCAGTAGAATAATGCCCCCCCCCCCATATCCAAGCCCTAATCTTTGGAACCTGTGATTATTTTACCTCACGTGGCAAGAAGGACTATGCAGATGTGATTAAGAACCCTGAGGTGGGGAAACTGCCGGGAGGGTTCGGATGGGCCTGACGTCATCACATGAGTCCTTAGACGTAGGGGAAGTTTCTAGCCTGTGGTCACAGGGACCCATGAGGACAGAGGGCTGGTCAGAGAGAAGCAAGCTTGCTGGCTGCAGTTGAATTTTTAAAACATGCAATACCTAACTCTTTAGACAGAGGCGCTAAGGGACAATCTCCCTTACATTACCAACTTAAAAAAATGACAAGAGCCATCCAGTGTGAATGACTCAGAATTATACTTATTTCGTCAGATCAGCAAAAAATACATTTTTTTTGGTGTGCCATTGAATTTTAGTAATTAGTTTGTGTGCCATGCGAGGAAAAGGGTTGAAAATCGCTGTCCCAGAGCCTCCAAAAGCAATGAAATCATGCCTACAGCTTGCTTTAGCCTGGTGAGACCCGTGTTGAATTTCTGACCTACAGATCTTATAATCTGTGTTGTTATAAAACCATGCAGTTTTGTGCTAATTTTTGTCACAGCACCACAGGAAACTCACAACATTTGTGGTATTTGTCATCCCTATAATATCGGTAATTATCTCATGTGGTGGTTAGAAACCACAAGCGCTGGTGTCAAACCAGGTCAAGCTCCCACTCTCCCGCTCCATAGCCAGGGGGCTTTGGACAAGTTAACCGAACAGCCATGCTAAGCTTCAGCACCTGGTCTGTGAGGAAGGGCTGATACTGCTTACCTCCAAGGGTGGTAATGGGTTTCAGTAAGAGACTGTGAACAAGTACTTAGCAGAATGACGGGCACAAAGCAAGCCTCCAGTACTAGTTCTTTTCCCCACGAGGTTATATATAAACTCTGCAAAGACAAGCACCATGACTTTATTGCTCATGGCTGCATTTGCAGGGACAAGCACCGAGCTGGACAGAGGGGGTGGTCAACACAGAGAGAATGGACAAATGGATGAACGTGTTTATGTGGACACTACTTAGGTACCAAGTGACACAGAGGCATAATTCACACGGTTAGCTCAACACGATGTGCTGACCAGCGCTACACATGCGAGGCATTCTGTGCTGATGAGCTTACAGCTGCCGGGGTTCTCAACAGGTACCGAAGGTGACGGCATTAGACAACATGGACTTTTGGAAGGTGTAAGAGAGGAAACTGTGGCACCCACCGTGGGTGGTCCTAGAGGTGGGGAGAATGAGAGGGGGTCTTCGACTCTAGGCCAAGTTTCCACTGGACAAGAGCAAACAAAGAGAATCGTTCTGGGGCTCGGTAAGTGGCCTCAGCAAAGGTGCTGCGCAGGCAGATTGAAGGTGCAGTGCACTTGGGGGACCTCGGACTCTGGTAAAGAATTTATGTTGGGGAGTAAGGGACATACGCCTGCCAACACGGAAACACAGTAGACCGTCCCCTAAAGCAAAGGGAGGGTCAGTAAAGATTTCTGACCCAGGACGTAGCACAATGAGACAAGCGTGGAGACGATGGCTGTCCTATCTGAAACACCGTGTAGGGTTGCAAGTCCTGGTTATAACAGGAGGAAAGTTTGATGGTGAGGCACCAGGAAGCACCTTATCTTCACTTCAAAACCACTTTGGAATTTGTTTTCAAGGTGTGGTCTGGATTCCTGCCTCGGCTTGGTCAGTCTGCTCTGTTCACTAGACTGTTGGCAATCACTGTGCCCACTGGCCCCTGGGCTGGGCAGCGCTTCTGCTGGTGGCGCCCACATGAACCGTCCTAAGCCTCTCCCAGGGGCGCTGGCATTGGAGTCTCAAGCTCTGCAGTGCGACATCTCATGGAGATCATCTCAGCGTGTTGAGACGGAAATGTAGAATAAGTTGGGTCCTCGGCAGTCCTTCCCAAGAACCCCAAAATCTGAGTCTTTGTGCGATGACCTTCCCTACCTGGACAAAGACCGGCCCCCCTAACAAAAGTGAGTACTGTCCCATCAGTTGTGACACAAACATGGGAACGAAACCCAGCCCTATCCTGGGACTCTCAACTCGAAAATGGACAAATAGAGAAGGCCTTTCTCCGTCCTGGCTTTGTGATGCCAAACTATTGCAAAACATTTGCTCAAGAAAAGCAACCAACTGGCTTTACTTCCATTACAAATAGCACCCAAATATTTCCGAAGTCCTTCCTGGCATCAGTGGTATGCACTTCTGAAAAGTCTTAACCGTTTCCAAACTCTTTTGAAATTTGTAGTGATTGATACAGGTTTTTAAGTTTAGTATTACTGCTCAGGTCACATTTTCGCCTGATTTCCAATCTTTTGTGGTATCCTTGATTAGTAAGGAACTCGATTTTATCTTTTACTGGGGGCCTTTGAATGTAGCAAAATGTTGAAATGATTCATTAATCATAATAAACGACTTCAAAGGGATTCAAGTTAAACTTCAGGTTTCGGAAGAGCGCGCTAGACAGGCAACTTCTTGTATTTCAACTCCAGGACAATAAGCCTGGTGGAGGATTTTGCTAAAAACGCCTAATGAGTATGTCAGTCACATCTAAAAATCATCTGCTGTCCACATGTTCACGTCCAGATATTGCATTTCATCCAACATCCATTCATTATGCAGCAAGACAGAGTTTGGGCTGTTCATTTCTACTGATCCATTCCCTGAACTGCAGAAGAAAAATACAGTGAATTCCTCCGGGCTGGAGCCTGACCAAAACCAGAGACCTGGCTCAGGTCCCTGACTCGAGCTTTGTCTACACGGGCTCCAGTTTGAAACAAAGTCGAAATCCGTCAAATGACCGTGTTGTTCTCTTTTGTGTGCTTTGGGGGTTTGTTTGTTCTTGTTGCTGTGTGCAGTGGAGGAATTCGCGTCGCTTCACTGCAGGGCCTCGTGCAAGGAGAGCTGGAAGCTGTCCCTTCAAATCCCCATCCCCGAGGGCGAACGACAGAGAGGTCTTAAAGGCCAAAAACCATGAGCCAGCATGAGTCAGGGGTGCAGAGTCGTGGGTGCTGGACTTGGTCAGTTTCTGTGCAAACCTCAGCCCTTTTCTTCATCGCATCCGGTTCCCGGTGGCATCGTGTCCAGGGTCTTTGTGGCTGGGGGGGGGGGGGGGGGGCGCGTTTTCTGCTTTCGGGCGCGGCCAGACCTCCCGAGGCTCTCACGGGCCATCTCTCCGGGACCCTCCGCCCCCGCCTGCCGGTCCCGGTCCCTCCGTCGCCTCCCCGTCCTCTTCCGCCGCCGGGCGCCTCCGCAGCTGGGCCAGCAGCTCCTTCGCGGGGTTGAAGACGCCGTGGGTCTGGCGGCCGCAGACGGAGCAGCGCGGGCTGGCGCGGTAGCGCTCCAGGGCGCAGCGCTCGCAGAAGCAGTGGCGGCAGCGGGTGACCACGGGGCGGCGGAAGGGCCGGCGGCACAGGGGGCAGCCGGCCGGCACCGCGGGGCCCTCGCCGCCCACCTCGTAGCTCTCGGCCTGGGCGGCGCCGTGGCGGCCCTCGGCCAGCTCCCGCGCGATCTGCCAGCCGTGCTTGTAGTCCGAGCGGTCGTGCAGGAACTTGCAGCTGTCGCCGAAGCCGCAGAAGCCCGTCTCCTTGAAGTCCTTGCACAGGTCGGGCTGGTAGTCCCAGCGCACCGTGGCGCGCAGGTGCTCGGGCGCGCGCAGGGGGCCCACGCGCCCCAGGCCCCGCGCACCGGGGCCCACGCGCGCGTCCCTGGGCGGCAGGAGGCGCCGGTAGCTGCGGAGGCCCCGGTAGGTCGGGCCGTGCGCCCCGGCCCGCGGCTCCTCCCGGCGCGCCTCCTCCGGGTCCGGCTCGGACACCGCGGTCGCCCCCATGTCCTCGGGCCCCACGGGCTTCGCGGAGCGGGTGGACTTGTAGACCACGCGGGGGGCCCCTCTCTCCTCCTCCTCCTCCTCCCCTTCCTCCTCCGCCTCCTCCTCGCACCCCGAGGCGCCGCCAGCCCTGCGGTGCCCGCCCCGCGTCGTCTGGACCCGGGGCCCGCGGGCGGCCCGCTTCCCGCCCGGGCGGACCACGCAGCTGCCCTCGTCCTCATCGCCGCTGTCCCCCGGCTCTGGGTCCCCGACCCCGCGCTGCCGGCGGCCCACGGCCCCTCTGCGCCCCGGCTTCCTGAACAGGAAGGTGCACACCGGGCCAGCGGGCCCTGCGGGGGAGAGCCGCTCCGCCACCTCCGGGTCCCGCTCCGCCACCTCCCGGCCCCGCTCCGCCACCTCCCGGCCCCGCTCCACCATCTCCGGGTCCCGCTCCGCCACCTCCCGGCCCGGCTCCGCCATCTCCGGGTCCCGCTCCGCCACCTCCCGGCCCGGCTCCACCATCTCCGGGTCCCGCTCCGCCACCTCCCGGACCGGCTCCGCCATCTCTGGGCCCTGCTCCAACGGCTGCACGGAGCCCGCACGTGGGCTGCGTCACACGAGGCGCGTGGGGGTGGAGGGACAGGGAGAAGCGGGGAGGAGGGAAGAGGGGTCGATAAAGCAAGAACGGAGAATCGGAGAGAGACCGGCCGAGAAGAGGGCTGTTGGGGCGCTCACACATGATTTCTTTAATGTTTTTAAGATGTTAGATGTGAAATGAGCCCCGAAGCAGGGAGGCGTGGGACAGACTGACACCCCTCGACGTGGGGTTGGGGGCACGAGAGGAGATAAAGCAAAGGGCATATATATTCACATGCACAGCCCATGGACACGGGCAACAGGGGAGTGGAGGGGGCGTCGGGGGTGGGGGCTGCGAGGAGGGGAAGGGGAGAGAGACATCTAATACCAGCAACAATAAACAGTTATTTTAAAACACAGTCGTCCCGTGTGTTTATTACTTGGACATGGTAATGCTGCTGTGGGGCGGTCTTCAGTTGCCTCCTGCTCTCCCCAAACCTCCCGCATCCATAGAGACCCTCCAGGAACCGCAATGAGAGCTCTCAGCCCACCGAAACCGATCATCAGTGACCATGACCGTCAACTGACAACCAACAACTCAGAAACACCTTACATGAATTCGACCTCAGGTTTTCAAAGGGACTAAGAGTTTGACTGGATTAAACGTTGAATAAGGCGAACGAGGGTGTGTGTTTAGTGTCCGTACTGATGTGGGGAACAATGTTAGCGAAGGTGAGAAGATGAACACAATCAAAAATAAGGGACTGGCCTTTCGAAATGCACACTTAGAGCACGTGGTTTTCCGTCCTTGCGATGAGTTTACTGAGGGGCCGCGACCTGGAGGATGGGGGCGCGAAGAGCAATGGAGCACCCCTGAGGGTTGGCGGGAGCAGAAGAAAATAGACGCCTCAGTGCCCGTAGAGCTGGGCCCAGGCGAGCAGAGGGCCAGGGTGGCTGTGGCTGGAGACTGAGGGGGGGGGGGGGGGCCTGTTCTCCCCCGTGGAATCAGGAGAGACCTGGGGGGCGGGGGTCCCATTTAAATTAGGTCTTGGGAGGGAGGGAGGGAGGGAGGGTTCCAGCACCCAGAGAGGAAGTCCCGGGTCAAGGACAGCATGGTCACTGGCCAAAGGCATGAGGAGGCAGCTCTGGCAGCTGGGAATCTAGGAGACCCTGGAAGTTGGTGGGGGGTGGTGGCAGCACCTGCCATGAAAATAGTAAATCCAGGGCAGGTTGAGAGGGCAGGGCTAGGGAGAAAACGGGGTGGGGAGGTTTGGGACAGAGAGGACTTTAGAATCATAAACATGATGATGAGCCAGAGGGTAGCGCACAGCTGAAGGAGGAGGAAAGGTCTGCCAGGAGACCCGTGGACTGGCTCCCCTGAAAGTCAGGCGGCTGCGGCCTGAAAGGCAAAGGTGGAGACGGGAAGGGGGACGGGGAAAATCTAGCCGCCAGTCAGCATCCGGTCCCTGGTATCATCTCAGTGCAAAGATGGCTCAACATCTTCTAACTGAGGGAGGTGCGGACCCCGGGGGAGTCCAGGAAGACAGGGAACATGGGAAAATGCAGGTTTGGGAAACAATTAAGTAATTGATGTTGTTGTTTTAATTTTAAAAAGTGATGCCTAATTTCAGTCTTAAAAATTTTAAGGCTCACTAATGAGAAGAGTAACAAGGGGACACAGTCTAGCCGGAGGGAACAGCATGAGCAGCGCCACAGCGGTGAGCGCTCGGGGCTGTAACAGCAGAAAAGAGGCAGGATGGGGCCACAGGAGCGGGAGGGACCTTTGGGAGGCGAGATCAATAATAGCTGATGATGATGGGATAAGGGAGACAGGGGTTCAAGAAAGTATCTCGGGTTTCCAGCTTAAGTGGCCCCTGGGATTTCATCCCCACATTGGACGTGGAGAATAGATGCGGAGGAGGAGGCAGAGGAGGGAGGTGAGCGAGCTGCTCTGGCCATGCTGAGTGTAAGGTGTCTGGGAGACGCGGGGGCCCGTTCCAGCCACAGACAGAGGAGCAGGGCCGAGGCTGGGACTCGGAGAGCCACACAGTGATGGAGACGCAGCGGTGTTCCTGTGTAGGCGGTAAATAAACACGCGTGTAGGAGGCGTGGCTGTGAGACAGCTGAGAGAGGATCACACGTATCTCTCTGTTGACCCCAGCACCAGGCGGCACCGTTCACACTGAAGAAAGAAATCCTCTGAGAGCCGGTCATAAAGGCGCCAACAACACCCGACAAACAGAACCAACGACGGAGACGACTGGAGGAGCCACTCGCTAGCGCGCCGCGTACAGTCCCCTGGCCACTCCACAAGCGACATCCTCGCCATCTGACGGAGCCACACGCTGGCCTTTCCTAACGCCGCCGACACGTGGGACTGCCTGTCCATGACCGCCAGCGTGTCGGGAGCGAGGCTGCCCGCTGTCCGAGCCCAGGTTCCGGGTTGACTAATGCTTCAAGGCCTGGAACATTCCAGCAGGTACAGCAACAGGCAGGGCAGTGCCATCCACAGAGCAAGTCACTCCCCGAAGGAGGGAGGGCTCTGCACCCCGGGCCTGCGAGTAAACGTTGAAGACCGCAGGTGTGGTTTAGTGACGCACACCTTCCCTTTGGGCAGTGGTCGGCAAACCACGGCTCGCGAGCCACATGCGGCTCTTTGGCCCCTTGAATGTGGCTCTTCCACAAAATACCAACTTCTGCACATGGGCCACGAAGTTTCAATCGCACTGTATGTGCGTGCCCACACGTGGTATTTTGTGGAAGAGCCGCATGTGGCTCGCGAACTGCAGTTTGCCGACCACAGCCTTTGGGAACTAGACACACCTGTTTGACAGGACGGGCATGGCACCGCAAACTTCCTCCGAGGGTCTCCGCTGAGCCTCACGGGTTCTGCCTGGGCACTCAGAGCCCCCTTTTCGCTGTGTCCATAAATGTAGCGCGTGGGTGACATCGCCCGAAATGGGCGCCCTGCACGCGCTGACACCACATGTCACAGGCGCCTGCAAAACGCAGCAACTCCGTCAGCTCAGAGAGGCTGGGGCACACACGACCCGCGGAATTCTTGCTCCTGGAGCTCCAAAGAATAATAAACATCTAGAACTTTTGGTCTTCAATTATTAAATGGAGCAACTTATGTAGCCAAAGTCCACTAACCCCGCGGGCCTGCTGACCACCCTCGTGAGGGAAACCCCCAGTGGCACCTGGGACACTGATCGGAGGCTGGAGCGGAGGGGCAGGCCCTTGGCCGCCTTTAACCCTTAATTACAGGAGAGAGAGGCTCATTCACGGCCTCCCTCCCGTTTCCAGCTCGCCCGCCCGCCCCCTCCCCGGGGAGGTTGTGTCCTTCTTTCATTCCCTGTGTCAGGTTTCGGGCTGACACGTGGTAATTGATTCCGCTGCTGGTCAGACGGGTGTTAAGTGGGTGGGATGGAGTTTCAGTGAAAACAAATAGCACTTCATGGGTCTGACCTTTCCTCTCGGAGCTTTTGTTGTGGTCGGCGCTGGGATGCGCCGATCAGAGGCTGTGCGAGCCCGTTGTGTCTATGTCTGCAGTCCCCCTACTCCCCCCCCCCCCCCCCCCCGTTCACCTTCACCCGCTCCCGGCGTGCCCACGGCAGCTAGAGCCGCGCGGTGTCACTTCTGGCCTGATGACAGCTCGGCGGCAGGTGGCGGCTCAGATTCACACCCGAGAGCTGGTGTCCGAGAGGCAGAGAGGCTGAGCGGGGCCCGGCCTCCCGGGACAGCGTGCCTCCGTGCAGACTTACACCCGGGAGATGACAAAAGCAATCTCTGAGTTCTCGAGAGAGGACGTCTGGTCCCCGGGCTGCCTCCGGTCTGCAGCTCCGTGTCAGCATTCGGCTCCATCCACCAAAAGGAGGCAGAGGCACTAGCCCTGTCCCATAGGAAGTTCAGCGCGGCCCCGGTAAAGTGGGTTCTTGCACTGTTGTCACAGGTTGTCTCTGCGTGCCTGCAGGGTGCGCCCCGGGCGGGGAGGCTGCCGGCCTCTGCAGGCACTGCCGGTGACTGGAGGGCGTCCCCTGAGCAAGATCCTTTCCCACAACAGCCGCTGTCAGCCTGGTGGGCAGGGCAGTAGCACGGCCTGCCCTCTGCCCCAGCTCAGCAGAACCCAAAGGCCACGCCGGCTTGCACAGGGTGGTGGCAGCACTGTCCACCTCTCCACAGCCCCCTCCATCCCTTCCTGCCTGGACCGCAGGTGTGCCCCTAGCAAACACCCAACACGCCGGCATCCTCCTCAGAGTCTGCCCCAGGAGCCCACCCCGACGCCAGCATGATTCCAAAACGTGGAGTCATCCATAGGATATTTGGGGCTAGATCCCCCCTCCCCAGCCAGCAATGGAGACCTGTTACCAGTTCCTGGCTCCTGAACTGGGGCGGCGTATCCAGCAGGAGATGCAGCCAGGACTGCCAACCAGCCCTTTGAGAAATACAGGAAAGAGTCGCCGTAACAAGGTGAGATTGGGCAGCGACTGCTGAGGGCGGCTGATGCTTGGGGGGGGGGGGGGGGGGCCATGGAAGCCCAAGGACACCGGCCACCAATAAATTCCCAGCGGGAAAGCCAGAAGGTTCCCGCCGCCCATGAAAAGCCTCTGCCACTTGGATTCAAACCGCAGAGCAAGCGAAGGACGAGGCTAAAAGTCCAAGATCACGGTGTCCTCTTAGCCGCTCTCCTTAGCTGGTGGACGGCCACCTCCCTGCCTCACCGCTCCCTCCGTGCATAGCTGTGTCCTCATCTCCGCTTGTTCTAAGACACAGTCATTGGATTAGGGCTCACCCTAACGGCCTCACGTTAATTTAACCATCTCTTTAAAGGCCCTGCCTGGACATGCAGTCACTCTCAGAGGTGTGGGGCTAGGACTTCAACATGAAGTGTGTGGAAGAACACAGCTCAGCCCATACCAGCCCTCCACAGCTCAGCCCATACCCATACCAGCCCTCCACAGCTCGGCCCATACCCATACCAGCCCTCC